GTTGAACCTCCCCTTTCTCCTCAGGGCTCTTTTGGAGGGTGATATGGGGATTTCACATATTCTCACAAATATGACAAATAGACTTATGACCTTTTCTTATTTTCACTGCGTCAATCGTTTGAAATTCTGCATATCATCTAGGCATTGATCTTAACTTAGAGGGAAAGAATATTTCTGTTGGCTTAATGCTTTATACCATGATCTAATACAGTGTTGTAGGTATAAATACTCCAAATTCATGTTGATTCTATGGGAAAACAATAGTACATGAGTGCTATAAGATGCAAGTCTTTGGGATTACCTTGTAAACTGGACCAAATCCACCCTCCCCAAGCTTAAAATCGACAGAAAAGTTGTTTGTAGCTTCAAGGAATGTAGATAGATTGAACGATGGTAGTTCCAACTCTTCATTCTGGTTCTCATTCTCGTACACTTGTTCTAGGTATCCTGGAATACAACCCGAACAGAATTTAAAACATCAACTTTAGACAAAAAAGAAGAAGACTAGATTGCCAATAGGAGAAGAAATGATTTGTAGCACCCCTGAACTTTCAAAAAATAGCAGTAAAGTTATAATGCCGGAAATAACACAAAAATAGAGAATCTAACCCGAAGGGTGTCGATATTACAAGATAGTGAATAAATAAATCTAAGTATTAGAGTTCTATGGAATTAGATAGAAGTCCATAGAATTCTGATACTTAGATTTATTTATTCGTTATCTTGTAATATCGACACCCTTCGGGTTAAATTCTCTATTTTACCGAGGTTTAAATTTACTGCTATTTTCTGAAAGTTTAGGGATGTTACATGATACGACAACGAGCCTTTTATCTCAATTAGTTTGGCTTGGCTAAAAAGGAAAATGATATGGAGGTGATCCCATTACCTTCTTTGCTCAATTTCCTCTTGTATGTTAGATACACCCATAGGGCTAGAATTGTTGTTATTGCAGAAAGTACAGGGATGAGTATGATTAATACTCTCTTGCTCACACCGGAGGTTCCGTTATGATTACTGCCCCCATTTATATCTGTTAAGACAGAATTGTTATTTGTAGTAAGAACCTGCATTTACAACACTACACAATAAGAAGTTGATGTTAGAATTGTTTAATTTAGACTTGCTCACGGTACGTTGAAGCATTAATACTAGACCTTGCTAACAGCAGTGTTCTAAAAAAGCTCGCCACACCAGCCGCCACGGTGCACCGTGGATCAAGACTTGTGTTTGACGCCACGTTAAGCCTGTGGCATGCCATTGCCCAATGCGTGGTTTTGTAACGCAAAATTTTATTTTTTTAACCTTTTAAGTGTCTTACATTTTTGTTTTTAGTATATAACCTACTTTAAGTTGCTTAATACAATTGTCTCATCGAGTAATAGTAGAAAACATATGTGTGTGTGTGCATATATACCAATACATGATATAAAGTTTTGTCACCATAAGTCTTGCCTTGGAAAGCATTGTGACCTCGCCGTGGCTTCTAGGACTTAAGGCTTGATCTCGTCGCCATACCATACCAAACCATTTACAACCTTGGCTAATAGTTAGGGCTGTTTGGTTGGTCTTCCATCAAGTCTTTTGTGGATAAAAATGTCTGTGTGGATTAATCTGTTTGTTTGTATAGATTACAAAAGTTTTTGTTTGGGAGAGTTTTTTCATAGATGGAAGGAGCATGTTTGGAAAAACTTGGCTTTCTGCATAAAGCTTCCTCTTAGAAGCTTACTGAATAAGCGACTTTCTATGTCATTAAGCCACTACCAAATAGTCACGTATAGCTGACCGAATAAGTTGTGAGCTCCATTAAACTCGTTAAGTTGCTAACAGACATACCCTTACTAGCATATAATATCATTACTTTATGTGGATACAAGCTTACTTATGTCTAAGGAAGCCATTCTTATATATAGGTCGTCCCCATTGTGATCAAACGCTATGATATCGATTAGGTCACCAAACCAGAGGATGCATCCTCTTCCACCCCCTCGAATGTCTGAATTTGAATAAGCTGTGCAGGAACAGTTATTCAAGCAGACCGTTTCGCATTCTTGAAGGTTCATGGTTTGGTTGAACCAAGAACCTCGTGAGTCCGGAAATTTCAAGTTTGAATACTTTCGGAACCCATCTCCACTCTTGCAATTCAATGGATTCCTTCTTTCGCACCCGCTTGACCAATCAGCCATACTCCATTCTTCCGGTTTTCTTGGTTCAAATCCGTCTATACACTCGCATAACGGAATATTGTTAATGTTGCAGCTCCCGTATGCTCCACACAATCTGTAACGTGCACAATTATCCGGTGCTGTCGAAGAATAAAAATACCAACCTTGGGCACGGTTGATCCAGTTCATACGGTTGAAGTTCCCATCAGCAGCCAATGTCATCCTTGAAATAATTGAACTGCTTTTAAGTTCATATTTATAATAGATGTCACTTTGATTCAAAACGAACTCAAATCCAAATATCGGGTTTTCTTTCAAATTAGGCATTCCAGACCACTTAAGACCATCCCAAGGTCCAAGCCGAAACTGTATAGCCTCTCCTTGCCACTGCATCCCTTGCGGGTATCCCTCCGCATTCACCTCAACTAAAAATTCACCAATCGAAGGATCATCAACACTCTTCCATTATCTCAACCGTCTCTCTATTCCCGTTACCAAATCTTTTTCTATTTTCATCCCCGGTAATTGGGTATCAGTAGGATAGTCAAAACTCTGCCAAATGGGATTTTCGGGGTTGTTGTCACCAATCACAAGATTCCCGGAATCCAAAAGCCTTGCCATTGGATTTGTTGCTGGTCTCGATGAATTTGATGACCAAATTATTGCACTGGTCGTGTTTCGGACGACCAGAGTTCCGCTAGGATCGAGTGTGAGAACACCTGATCTGTTGGCCAGTGGAGCCTCTCTGTTGGCAACCCAAACAACGGTGAACTCCGATATCTTCTTGTACCATATCCCGACATATCGGTTAGCTGACCTTCCGGGGCTGAAAAATCCGAGTCTAAAGGTCTCATCAGCTGAAACAATGGTGTCTCCATCTCTGATGGTTTGATTGACTGCAATGGTGTTTATTGCAGTTGAAGCTGTTGAGATTGATAATAGGGCAGTGCAACATAAAAATGTTTTGAGAAGGCTATTCATTGTTATTTTGTTCTTGCTATTCATAATGAATGGTTTTTACAGATCAATGATAAGTTAACAAAAATATTCATAATTAGCAGTTTCCAGGAAAAGAGGAAATTATGTTTTTCGTTGAAATTCTTATTTTCATCCGCTTTTAAAATTACGTTTTTCGGTTTTTGTGGTTTACAATTTATTGCTTTTTTCGTCTTTATGATTTATAGGTTGTTGCTGTTTTTGTCCCTCATACTTAACTGTAGGGAAAAATCTAAAAAAACCCAACAAACTATCTGATTTTGAATGATAAAACCCTTAAACTTTCAAAAACAGGTTAAATACATCATTGTAACCTGTAAAAACAAGTTAATGTGATATAAATTTGGAAAAAATTTAAAATTGAACAAACTATCTGATTTTGAATGATCAAGTCACTATTTTTTTAACAAATAAATCCTTAAAAGCTTTATTCTCTTAGACTTTTCCCATTAACAATTTATTAATTTTTTCGTTCTTGTGATTTATAGTTTGTTGCTGCTTTTGTCTCTCATACTTAATTGTAAGAGTGAACTACATGTTTCTTACATGTGGTTATATGTTTTTAGCGGTCCCTTGTCCACTTATTTTTGAAAATTTAATAGATTATGTCCATGTGGTTGCATTTTTACCACGAGTTGGGTCCTTAATGCAACCATAGGGACCAAGTTATTGATTTATTTAGAAATTGAACTCATTAAAAAACTGCAACCACAATGATGCATTCAGTTGAATTTTTGAAAGAGGGATAAAGACCGTCAAAACACCTAGTCACATGAATGAAACTTATAATTTACTCTAATTGTAATAAATTGCCTCAAGGATAGAAACAACAATTGATTATAAACTATAGGGACGAAAATCGCAATTAAGAAAGTACAAGGGCGAAAATTGAAATTTTAAATAAAGCACAAGGACGAGAATCCTAGTTTACTCTTCTAGGAATGTGAATCCAATGTTACGAGGAAGTCCGTTGAGATCTGAAGACATTGTATGATTAATATAGCTCATTGACTTAGTCGTGGGGATAGTTAGCAAACAGCATACAAATTCAAAAGGGTAGTTCTTTGACCGTTTCCCGTTATCGTTTTCTTTGACCACATATGTTGAATACGTCACAATTTCCATTTTTACAAGCTTGATAACTTGTTCGTACCTGTTCTATAAACAGACTTGTCCACTGGTCAATTGACCTAAAAATCTTTTAGGTAGGATTTGATACATAGATATGATAGAACTGCACATGACAAGTTGTCGATTTGGTGTTCGGTAAAACTAGAATTGGATAGGATGAGACTAAACAAGTTGCCCTTAAAAATTGTTTGATGATCTTATATATCATATGATAGTTATAAATAACAGAAATCAAATAAATAATTTATTTATAAATATTTTTACACAAATTTTATATACATATATAATAATATCAAATTTGACTTAACATTTTGATATACAAGAAAAAACCATGCATTCCTATTCAGCTGAAGATTACAAATTCAAAAACACATATACTGCTCTGTCTCCAACTCTGACCACACATTAGGCTCCTATTTGGGTGTAGGAATGGAGATGGGTTCTATGGGGTTTACAGAAAAAAGATATATTTATAAAGCGAGAAATTATCAAAAACTAACAAACACCCTGGTAATTATTCATTTGGACAGTATGTTTATGTGCATACGAGTAATTAAAGTTGTTTTTTGGTTTTTGTGCACGTGGTTATACCGTCCAAATGAATGATTACTAAGACGTTCCTCACTTTTTCATTTAATCGGACTCCATACATACGTACACGCACACGAAGGATCGCGTGAAGATATGAGTTAAAGTAAGAAGCATAAGAGATCTGGACCCTTGATCACTTTTAATTTCACCCCACCTCATGAATTGTGCTTGATACAGGAATTAATCGGATGCATCTCATTAGTGTTGATCTTCGGTTAGGATTGATCCAATGATGGAGATCCCTTCTCATCCAAACCCAACCCTATATATACACTATCTAGCATTCAACATTGTAACAGTGAGTTCATTGGTTGAATTTGCTCCGTATGTACTTGAAGAATAACCGGTATCTGTTGTAGCTTTTTCGTAAAAGAAACCTGGCAGCTTAGGGGGAGGCAATTTGCCATCACTCTCAAGCATTAGAATCACGGAAGACATGGTCGGCCTATCTTCTGGACGTTGTTGAACACACAACAGACTCACATGGATCAACCGTATCGCTTCTGATAAACTGATCGATTCATCTAGAGATGCTGCAACCAGTTCCAAGGATCTGCCTTCTTTATGGAGCCCCCATGCCTAATAAGAAAGAAAGAAAAACAGTAAGGCGTAATAAGTTGGCTTATTTTTTAGCTTATTGAAAACCTCCCTTTTAGTTAGCCATAAGCTAGCCTTTTAGAAAAGCTACTTCAGGTGGTGTTTCAAAAAGCTCTACTTTTTCTTTTTCCAATTATACCCCTTGTATTTTTCCAGGTAATTTTTCGTCATGTTATTTTAGGATGCGTTTGATATCCAGACAGGATGGGATAGGACAGAACAACAGAGTTTGGTAAGACATAATTGGAATGGACAGAACATATGAAATGACCAATTTAGCTCTAATGATTTGTTTATATATTTTGATTCATCTATTAAATTATAATAAAATGTATTTTTTATAATAAAATATATCATTACAAAGTTCCGTCAAAGATAATTAAAATGACACTAAAATAAAAGGTTTATGTAGTTTCCAATTGTTATTTTATATCTTCTCTATGTTATTTTTATATTACTAATATTTAATAAATTTTGAAGATGATAAAGTGAGTTTAAATGGCATAAAATACCATAAATAAATTTTAAAGAATGAACAAAATGTAAAGAGAGAGGCGTATTTGATGTTTTAGAATAGAATTAGGTTTTATTTTGAGGTTATAATGGTAAAATACATGTCTATTTCATCTTGTTCCATGGGGTGGGGGTGGAACACGACTTCTACTTTGTTCTACTATCTTCTACTATGTTCCTGTTTGTTCTACATAAAAGTCCTGCCAAACGTGAAATACTGATCTCTATTATATTATATCCTATGCAGTGTACCAAACGCACCCTTAGGTTCTTTTACATTGTCATCTAACTTATCGGTTAGTTTTACCAAACATGACTTGTTTTCAATTAGTTTGCCAAATATAGCCTAAAATATAAGAGCACACACAAAGATAGACAGCTTAATTGAAACAAAACTAACATGTCCGAGAAGGTTGTTGCTGTGTTCTTTATGGAGGAATCCTCTGTTTTTCTTCCCACTCACAATCTCCAACACCAAAACACCGAAGCTAAATACATCTGATTTTATTGAAAAGATACCATCACCTGCATACTCCGGTGCCATGTAGCCACTGCAGAAAATTTGTTGTTTAATTCAAGAAATTTTACTATATAAACACAAGTAAATTGGCCAAGTGCTAGGTATAAATGAGTTCTCACTATGTTCCAACCACTCTGTTTGTGTTTGCCTCTATCTGATTTCCTCCAAAGCTTCTGGCCAACCCGAAATCTGATATCTTCGGGATCATATCATGGTCAAGCAAAATGTTGCTGACTTTGAGATCTCGATGGATTATCCTCAGTCGAGAATCTTGATGAAGATAAACAAGTCCCCGAGCAATCCCCTTGATAATGTGAAAACGTGTAGGCCAATCTAGTATCTTACTTTGAGTTCCATCTGCAGTTTGTTTACATCTAAGTTTATGGTTTTTTAACACTCGATGTTTTCATACAGTTGATGCACGTGCTTTTAATATAAAAAAACCAAGCCAAACAAATCAAGTAAATCTTAAAACTGTATCGTCCGTGTAGGGTAAAGTGTATACCGAATATAAAGGAGTCGAGGCCTTTGTTTGGCATGTATTCATAGACCAACATTTTTTCTGCTCCTTTGATGCAGCAGCCTAGGAGCTTTACAAGATTCCGGTGTTGAAGTTTGGAAATACAGATGACTTCATTCTTGAATTCGTCGAGTCCTTGAGTTGAAGTCTTTGATAGACGCTTCACTGCTACTTCCTGTCCGTTTCCCAGTACACCCTGAAAACGATCTTTGAGGTAAGTACAGTATCTATATATAGTTTTGTTCCGGGTTCTGTTGAGGACAATCTCTTTTTGTTGGAACATGTGCATAGAAGTAATTTGTAAGCAATTTTTCTGGTATGCACATGTGCATAGAAGTAATTGTTAAGCAATTTGTTTGGTATGCACATAGGCACAACATGTGCACGTGCATAGAAACCAAGAAACAACTTCAATTACTTGTATGCACATGTGCATACTGTACAAATGAGTAATTACTAGGTGTTCCTCAAATTTTCTTTTCTTTTTTGCGGTTTTACCATGAATTTGATCCTATATAAGGAGGTTAAGGGGAAAACCCCCAAAAAATGAAAAACTGAGGAATATTTTGATAACCATTCATCTGCACGATATGCATATGTGCATACAAGTAATTTTTCCAGTATTCACATGTGTATAACATGTATACATGCAAAACCAGGAAACATCTTCAATCACTTGTATGCACATGTGCATATCATGTAGATGAATGATTATTAGGGTGTTCCTCGGTTTTTCATTTTCTTGGGGTTTTTCCCTGAAGCTCACTCTCTCTCTCTCTCTCTATATATATATATATATATATATAAATATTATATATTGCAAATCATATAGAAACTATCTAAAGGTTAGAACCCATGAAAACCATAAACAACACATACAAACTTACTTTTTGACAGTTTCTATATGATCTGGCCCTTGTATGTATATCAACCGTTGCATTTAAATGTAGAAATATTTGTTTACGCATGCCTCAATTAGTTATCCCTTTACAACTAACAAGTCATACACTCATTTATTACCTTGTAAACGGGTCCAAAACCACCTTCTCCGAGCTTATTGTTGTCTGAAAAGTTGTTGGTAGCTTTACGTAATATAGAGAAGTCAATCAGTGGTAGTTCTAGATCATCCTTTGAGTTTTCGTCGCCAGGATCATCTCCATAGGCTCCCTTTAGTGTCCCTGAGATAGAGCCAATGCCAACTGAACTATATAATCTGCATCCCGAATCAAATTGACAGATGAAACAAGACCAAAATAGAACTACCTTCTTGCTTCGCCTTCCTCTTCTTAATTCGATAAAATACGCACACAGAAAGTAGTATGATTAATAATACCGATATTATAGGGACAATAATCACTACTCGTCTCTTTACACTCGAGCTTCTACCTGTTGCTGCAATGACAATGTCGCACGTTTATCAAATCAATATATATATATATGTGTGTGTGTGTGTGTATACGTATATGTATAGAGGGGAGTTCAAATACAACCCCTCTAGATTATACAACCAATGCTACCCACATATCCACCATCCATTTTTTTCCCTTTTTTTAATTAAGGGTAATTACAACCGATAAAATAGTGCCCGTTGATGATCAAATGGACGCTCCTGATTTGGTTATAAGGATTGTAGGAATATAAATGGTTGTATAATAACCCACCTCTATGTGTGTGTGTGTGTGTGTGTATTACCGGAAGAACCAAAGATTTTTGATTTTTGAGGTGGCATGATGAGAATCGAGTATTCTCAAATGGTGGATTGTGGTTGAGTTTAAGTTGTAAGATGTG